CTCTTATATATATATATATATATATATATATATATAAATAAACTTTATTCAATATTTTTTTTAGAGCCCCTTTGTATCTTTGTCTTAAAAACCTCTATTTTAATTTTTATTTTATTTTATTTTATTTATTTTTAATATTTTTTTGGATCACTAATTCGGACTGATCCTCATCACCAATCCAATAATCCGACATAGATCTATGAGTGAACAATCCACCCCACCTATCCTGGTTTTGAAAGTATTTTAAGATAGGTTCGGTGGGTTGAAGCGGTCACTCTTCGGTCTTGAATAGAATTGGCCAACAACTCAGCCACATTAAAAGGAAAAAAAAACAAAGTGAAAAGAATAAAATTTAAAATCATTAAATTTTTTAAACATGACTGATTATCATCAAAATCATCCTAAAAACATTGGTTTTATAATAAAATAAAAGGATAGTATAGAATAAGACCATTTACCTTTGGCACAAGGTGGTCACGTTAATCTTGATAGTTGGATGTGAACTTGGGTGACTACAATTATTCCATTGACCAAGCTCAAACTTCAAAAGAAATTTTTTCAAACTTTGTGACATATTCAAGCTATAAACTTCACATCGAATGATTGTAAGTAACTGTGATCACCTTGTATAAAGGTAAATTATTTCATTGTATACCATCCCTAAAATAAAAATTATTTTATATTTACTCACCCTTAGGCCTAAATCCTAGTCAAGGGAGGGACTCAGATTGGGTAGGTGCCGGTAGAGGATAGACTCGTATAGTTTAAAAAATGTGTTCTCTTTAAAACCTTGTACCAGCAGGTAAAACGTTTTGTGTATTTTGTATCAAATGTAAAAAATGATGTAGGTATTGAGTGAGAGTTTTCGTTTTCATTAGATAATCGTTGCTTGGGCATTGACTAAAACTAGGAAAACATTTTGAATTACCCTTTGTTTTGAGGGAAAATAATAAATATTCAAACGGTATTTTGGTACAAGATTTTCACAATCATCTCTACCCTTAGGTGTGAAATCAGACGGTTAGAAGTACGACATTGGCAACACTCAAAATCCAAAAAAAAAAAATTAGACTTTGTAAAACCCATATCAACCTGATTTCACTACCGTTAACGGTAGTGATTGGGACCATTTCTACAATAGGGAAAAAGTCTTATGGTATACAGTCATTTATGGTAATAAAGTCCTTTCGCTTTAAGAACTCTCAAAATTTGAGGGAGTTTAATAAATGAAATAAATGCATCAACCCAACTTTATATCTATCGGTCAAAATCAATTGTGATCACCTTATACTAATGATAATGGTCTCATTGTATATTTTTTTTATATAATATCCATCCATTTTATGAGCTAGATTCCAAGAGTGTGGACGTTAGGTAGAGATCTGTAGGTATAGCATTTTGTGACACAATGATTGCAGTGCCCAGATGTAACTCTGCAGAGATATGTAGGCCTTGCAATAAAGCACAAAATTTGACCTCATTTGATGTGGTAAAGCCGCACGAACCCGATAATTAATAAGAGTGGTCTCGAAATAATTATTTATCAATCCTGCCACACCCGTTATCTCTAGATTGCCTAGAGATCTACCATCAAAATAAAGTTTGATTAGTGCTATTAGAATAGGATTCCATATTTCCATCACTCTTCTCTCAAATGCTCCCAATTTTACAATATTGTCTAAATTGAACATTAAATCTCTCCTCAACCTACCCCAACATTCCAAAATCTTATCTTCACTTTACAAAACTTCTCAACATACCCTTCTATTTCTTTCCTTCCAAATTTCTCTAATATTAAAAACTTTCTGAAGTATTTTACCCACTTTGATAAGTAAGGAAGATTTAAATGATCCACAATATCGATACGAATTCCCATTCTTTGAAATGCCTACAACCATATGCTGTGCATGTAAGAATAAACGATCCCATGTCACTTCATCATGCTCTTAAATTAAACAAACATACTTAGCAACAATAGTTAATCCTTCCTTTAATCCCTATTTCTTGAAAAATGGTTCAAATCAAAACTTTCACCATCGGTTTCAAGTGACGGATGGTGAAGATCACTCGTTGCTCCCGATGACAGACGTCCACCAAGACATGATTAATCTCCACCGTCCATCACAGAAATAGACAATGAACATCTTTATAGTGTATCAATTCCAAATGCCAATGATGTATGATGCACTCTTGGACCATTCTTGTGCTCCATACGGACAACGCACCTGCTTATGAGTTGCTACATAGGTTGTACCCATGCACACATGTAGAAATGAAAAAGAACCGCTGAGCCCACCCGTCTATGTAACAGTGTAAGTCCGCAAGCTCAGAGTAAAGGATCTAGAAATCAATGGTTAGCATTGCATGAGGGATGTTGTCCGTCCTAGCCAAGGCCCGAGCCCGGCCAAAAAACGCAATGCAAACCCTGTTATGGACGGAGCCCAAAAATTAGATTTGGTCTCATCAGTGGCGTAGCCTGAAATCATGGTAACAAGAATTGAACACGGAAAATCGGGCCGGGCCTATGTAAACACGACAAATTAAAGAATATATACATTTGTAAAACAAAAAAATTGGGCCCAGATCCAGGGTAGGCTGTGATCGAGTAACCGAGGCCCAACCAAAAAACTACACCGGGCCTAGCCCGTGAACCTTAAAATGAAGCCCGAACCCCAGCAAAAGCCCACAGGTGGGCCTTGTAATTGCATGTTTTATATCATGTACATGCATCATTCGGTTTACTTCTTTTGAGCTTTATGCATCATTTGGTTTATGCAGAGTAAGAGTTGAGCTCATCTTTCCTGCAGGTTTCACATGGGTCGACAACCGTTGGTGATAATTGCTGACGCGGAATTGTGCAGAGAAGCTGGTATAAAGAAGTTCAAGGATTTGCCTAATCGAAGTATTCCATCTCCCATCTCAGCCTCACCTCTCCACCTCAAGGGATTGTTCTTTAGCAGGTATCAAATACTAACATGTATGTTGGGGGTAATAGCATCAAGATATTGAGTTTCTTATCTTGTTGGATTAAAGATACATTATTTCTCCCTTTATGTTGCTTGTTGAATTGTCGTAATTATATTCATTTATCCAAGCACAAATCTTCTTCAACTTACATTTTCGATCTTTATAGGGGCTCAAGATGGTCCATCATGAGAAATACCATAACTTCTCTGTACCAGCCATCCCACCTTGCCAGCCTCATTCCCACCATGCATTTCTTCATTGCCTCTGCCTCCTCAATGCTGGAATCCCACCTCCAGAGGAAAGAAGACGACGTCAACTTCTCCGAACTCACCTTAAAGCTCACCACCGACGTGATCGGACGAGCAGCGTTTGGTGTGAACTTCGGCCTCACAGGCTCATCAAGTGCACAATCTGGGCAAAATACCCTCAAGAAAGATGAAAACTCTGAAGATGGCTACATTTCCAAATTCCTAAATCAACACATATACTCAACTACCTCTCTCAAGATGGACCTTACTGGTACCTTTTCCATCATCCTTGGCCTCTTCTTCCCCATTCTTCAGAACCCAGTTCGATGGCTACTTTGTAGGATTCCTGGCACTGCTGACAGGGAGCACGAACTCGCCAATAAGGAACTGAGCCAGAGGGTTGATGAGGTGGTTGAGAAGAGGTGCAAAGAAATTGAAGGCGGTTCCTCTAACATTGACTTACTGACGGCTGTGCTTAATGCACAGGAGTCATACAGGGCAATATCAAAAAAAATTTTCACACCAGAGTGTGTGAGCTCGCTTGCTTACGAGCATCTCCTCGCTGGCTCTGCCACAACTTCATTTACAATGGCAGCAACGGTGTATTTGGTGTCGGCTCACCCGGAGGTGGAGGAGAAGCTACTCAGAGAGATCGATACCTTCGGACCTCCTAACAAGAGGCCCGACGCTGAAGATCTACGCCTCAATTTTCCCTATCTTGATATGGTAATCTTGTTTCTAGTATATGTTTTTACTCCTTTATTTTTAGGAGATAATTACTTAAACCAACATGGTTGTAACAGGGATGGCCAAGTTTCTAGGCCCAACTAGTGACCCAAAGAGTTTTTATAGTTTACTTTTTATGAATTACTCTGAAAGCTCATAAAAGTCAAAAACTCATTTCCTTGAGGGATTGGAGATATTCTGAAAAAAAAATTTGGTTAATTCCTTTGAAGATACCCAAACTTTATATCTTTCTTTTTTTAAAAAAAATCCCTAAATTATGAAAGATGGCGGTTATAATATATGTAAAACTCAAAAGTAAGCATTGTGAACTAAGTTGGATGTGAACATGGAATGTTTGTTGTGCAGGTGGTAAAAGAGGCCATGAGGTTCTTTACAGTCTCGCCATTGGTTGCGAGGGAAGCAGAGCGAGATGTTCAAATTGGAGGATACCTCTTACCCAAGGTATAAAGTACAAATTTAGGAAAAATTAACCTTAAAATACATCGTGTGCATATGTGTGCATTACACGACACCATCCATTCCATCAATGAACAGTTGGGATAAACTACACTTACATGAGAATGTCCATCATCATGACTGTGTTTCCTTGCTACAGTGTATTGGGCTTATTAGTTAAGGTCTTGAAAATTGCAGCACTACATTATTAGTTCAAATCCATTGCGGCCCATGGATTGATTGGGCGGTTATGATTCACTGTTTTTTTTGGATTCCATTTTCTGTTATTCATTTTAACTGAAGAAGATGGTTTATTTCCGAGTCTTAATTAAAAGAGATATGGTATTCTCCTTACCATTAAGGATTTGGCAGGGAACATGGATATGGCTAGCACTGGGAGTTTTGGCTAAGGATCCAAGCAACTTCCCTGAGCCTGAAAAGTTCAAACCAGAGAGGTTCGATCCACAAGGGGAGGAGGAGAAGAAGAGGCACCCCTATGCACACATTCCTTTTGGAATTGGCCCAAGAGCATGCGTAGGGGGGAAATTTTCCATACAAGAGATAAAACTAACTCTTATATACCTCTATCAGAGGTACATTTTTCGGCACTCACCCAATATGGAGAGCCCCCTTGAATTCGATTATGGAGTCGTCCTCAACTACAAGCATGGTGTCAAGCTGCGCATTTTGAAACGGTCCCGAGTTTGAATTTTTATGTCTCTTGTGCCGTTTGTGTAATGTATTTGTTGTAGTTGAATTTGTGAAGTGTGAACCTTGTAATTAGTGGGTTAAATCAACAGAAATAGAAAAGAAATAGAAGTCCTGAAATTTTACCTCTCAGTGAAACAGGAAAGGCTTTTCCCCAAGTGAGAAACCAATCGAATTCTCTACAACTAATCGACTAATGAGCACTATTTTCCTTCAATGCCGATTATCAAACACAATTCTCAGCAGGCGGGAAACTTCTTAAGAAGAAAATAGTGTGAAAATTTACTTTGCTTGGGTATCTTTGCAAAAGAAGCCAGTAGAGTTGAAGCATTCTTAGTCACCCTTTGGGCCCGTTTGGGCACATGGATTTTGGGGCATGGATTTTTAATCTGTTAGTTATTTTGGAGAAGCTGGATGAGTTTGTTTACATTTTACAATTTGCAACACTAAAATAATGCTTACTACGAGAAATGTGGTTATAAAGTAGGGTTGGCAACACATCAGGCCTGGCCCAAATCCCTATAGGGCTGCAATAAAAACTAAACAAAAAGGAAACTACAAGATTGGACAGGGCCGGCCATGTCTAGGCCCTAGCCAGGCTTGGTCTGCCCTGGTCCATACTTTATGGCCTAGCCTCTAGTTTTTCAGGGCTTCCCAAAAGCATGGGAGAAAACAAGAACCTCCAACTAATTGCACCCCATGTTTTGGGTGGACATAGCAATAAAGAACATTTGAATAGTAGAACCACACAAGATTGGACAAAAAAAAAATTATATATGTGGTAATTTCAAATTTGAGAGAGTAATGAGAGTGAATAATAAAATTTACTTGTTACATTTATTCCAATTAAGAAACAACTTATCATAGATATTTGAATTTAACCGAGTACATGTCCAAGCTATCACGTCTTTAAATCACTCCAATCCAACCCGACCCATGGCATTTCACGCGCCGACCCCGATTTTTAAATCACTTCTTTAAGCTATCATATAATGCACTTGAAGTTGTTCCTCTCATGCGTTCGCAATGACCAGTAAGGTACTAGACTAAAGTCTTGGATAAAATAGCATAATGAATAGTAGTGTGGATTTATTCTTACTTCAATTGTGAAGTAAGATCCATCTACAAAACTATGTATATGTCATGTACCAGTACTAAAGATTTATTTCAATGAAAAGTTTAGAAAATCTTAGCAAATATATTCTTAAAGATTTATTTCAATGAAAAGTTTAGAAAATCTTAGCAAATATATTCTTAAGATTTAATTCCCTAAAGAGCTCTCCCTCTTTTCAAAAGACTGATCATAACATGCTTAGTACTAGGATGAAATGTCTAAATCTAAAGTTTGTTCTTCTTATCATTTTAGAGGGGGCTGACATTCCATTCCAAAAGATGTGCCCTTTAGCTCGACCGTCTCAATGTTTTCAAAGTCCATGTTTTTAATATTTGTCATCTTATTTGGATTTTTTATGTTGTTTTTGGTCTTCTTTTAATTTAATTCCCAGCTCTTCCCCTTGACTTTTCAAAAGACTGATCATAACATGCTTAGTACTAGGATGAAATGCTTAAAAGTTAAAACTAAAGTTTTCTTCTTATCTTTTAATAAGCCCACTTGTCTTGTTTACTTGCGCACCGTGCCCAACACAAGCACTCATATATACATATATGAGAGAGCCAAATAACGAACAAAATCATGATAGAGACAGAAAAGAAGGTTAACTGACGGTTAAGAAAGCTAAAGTGGACATCTTTAGGATGGAATGTCAGCCCCCTCTAAAAAAATAACAGAATAAACTTGAGTTTTAAACATTTCATCCTAGTACTAAGCATGTTATGATCAGTCTTTTGAAAACTCAAGAAGGAGAGCTCTTTAGGGAATTAAACTTTACCTCTTTTGAAGATAGATACCATAGTAAGATGAAAAACAATTTGATGCGAGGTTCAACCCTTTTATAGAGGAAAAATTTTATATAGAGCCGAGGCTCTAAACCATAGTTACCAGGAGAGGGAGCGGCTCCAGAAGCGGGAGCGAGAACATCAGATCGACGGCTCCCCAAAGCTCCAAACCTCAAGAAGCAAGTTCCGGTGAGGGTAGAAAGCACGGTTCGAGATCCCTTTTGAACCTGGAGCAAGATCCTGATACATTGGGATTGAGATCCCAATACGTTGGGATCGAGATCCCGATTGAAAGGGAATGTGTTCCATGTAGTTACTGGCTGAGATCCCATTGAATAGGGAGCGAGATCCCGTTTGAATAAAGAGCGAGATCTTTATACATTGGATCGAGATCTCTATTTGATGGGAACACTTCCATGTAACATGGGATCGCGCTCCCATGTCTATTAGGATCGTGCTTCTATCGACAACAAGAACGAGATCACATTTAACGTTGAGTCTTGCCCCCATCTAAGAAAATGCCACGACCCTATTTGTCTAGAATCGAGCTCCATTCAGTGCAGGATCGCGTTCCGAACAATAGTGGTTTACGCCCCCATTGCACATAACTCCACTTGTATGAAGAAGAAGAACCCAATTCCATTACACATGAAATCATGGACCCACTAAGCACGACAGCCCGTTCCCATACAAATACGATCTCGATTTGGTTAAATTTAGAAACCATTATTCTATTTAGCACTAGCACATGCGGCTAGATCCATGCACAACCAATCCTGGATATCCATGGATTAATTAAATCTCATTAATCTAGTATGAAATAAAGTCTTCCAATGCTATCAATGATTAATGTTATTCTTGTTCAAAATCTCATACAAGATATGAAAATGAGGTTTACGTTGGCTTTTCTATACATGGAAATATGTATTTTTTGACCGAAATATACATGAAAATATATTGTCTATGATTTGGGTACCATTTGGATGCAACTTAAGCATATATAGTTACTGCTAGGCCTAAATTCGAGAAATACATCACCTTTATTTTTGGGTTGAAATAAATATATGAAAATTTTACTAAAAATATTAACTTTTATACTTAAATATTATTTTTATTCAAGAC